GTGTCCGCCGGCGACCATAGGACCGGCCGGTGACAACAACAACAACAGTTCGAGCCATACGCCGGTGACAACAACAACAACAGCAAAAATTGAACGAGGACCAAGCAACAACAACTCAACAGCAATAACAACAACAGCAAAAATAATGCTTCTTCGCCGGCGACAACCAAAGAACACAGGCCGCCGGTTAAAACCAAAAAAAAAAAACAGATCGAACACCAGAAGAACAACATACAAATACCTAGATCTAAATTCGCCGGCCGGAAATGCGAAGAAATTAATGAAATAAATAAATTAGATAAAATCGAAATAAAACGATATAAAAAATAAAACAAACAAATCATTATGAACTACAAAACACTTACCTACCTTTTCTGGAGGAGGAGGCGCCGGGAACAATGGCTGAAAAACGGGGAGAAAGCCGGGGAGAGAGGAGGCGTCGGCTTCAATGGCGAAAACCGGGGAGAAACCAAAGGGGAGGGAGGATTTGGAAGTTTTAGATCTGAAGTTGTTCGCATTCGCCATATGCGAACTTTAGGAAAACCCAGATGACGCCACGTGGCGCGACGAATAGGAGGCAGGACTTGGTTCGCATTTCATACATGCGAACATATTTTAACTATACGAGAGTGCAGTTCCTGGACTCCATACAAATTTTACTAATATTCTTTGAGGATAGTCTTGTAGTCCTGGACAATACAAATTTAATATTTTTTAAAGTATTACACAAATACAAACATAGACTTGAATATTGTTCGAATTATTACACAAACCAAAACCCAAATACAAATTCAGAATTCTTAGAATTATTACACAAATACAAACTCAGAATTAATCAAATCATTACACAAACACAAATACTACCAGAACCACTACTTGAAGATTATTCAGATTATTACGCAAACACAAACTTTGAATTCCTACTCAGAATTCTGAAGATTGATCATCAGAATCATCAGTCTGCATACGGGGTACACCATGCATTCCATATCGATCGTAAGCATGATTCAAAGGAGTCCTGTCTGAAGATGGATGTGAGAATGCGCAGTTGAACGTATCATGATCAAATCCTCCACATCGCGCGCAAACGTTCTCAACCACGCATGCACTGGCATTATGGCCTTCTTGATGACATCGACCGCAAACTTGAACTCTCTTGTTACCAAATTTTTTCGTATAATCCATAAGTCCTTTCTTTCGATTCACACGCTTCCGACCTGGGCCAGCATGGTGGACGAGTAATGTATCATCAGGCCTCAGCTGTCACGTCGCCTGTGGCCATGGTTGAAGGACTGGGTTGAATTCTCCAGAAAACTGAATAGCCCATTGTTCCTTACTATAAAATGAATCAAAAAGGGGTAAAGGATCATGACGTAGAAACCTGGCAACAGCAAGCGCATGGGAGCAAGGAAACCTGTATGTCTGCCACTTATTACATGTGCACATCCTGGCGGCGTAGCTTACCTCATGGATATTTCCACCCTTCCATGGCCGATCAGGTGGTGAGTACGTGACCACTTGGTACTTCTGATTCCTCTTGCTGAATCTGGTAACCTCGTGAGCCATCTGATGTATACGGTATTCGTCATACCGTTTCATGGGATTCGTCGCGAGGGTGAATGGCATTTGTCAATTTCATCTATGTTTTCCTGAAATAACTTGTTAGTCTTATACCATGTGGCAAGAATCAAAGCAACGATAGGGAGCATCCGGCAATCTTTTAAGACATTATTAAAACTCTCGGATATGTTCGAAGTCATTTCTCCCCAACGATAACCCCCGTCCCAATAACGGGTACACTTCTCAAGACCGATTTGCTGAAGATATATGGCTGCATCTCTATTTTTACTTTCAAAAGTCATCCATTCTTTTTCAAACTTGCCTTTTTGCAACATTGAACAAGCCCTTTGACAAGGTCTTTTGAGTTTCTGCCCAGGAAAATTGCCAGCTAAATTTGCTTTGATGTGCTGCAGACAATAACGGTGCACTCCCATCCCTAGAAATTTATCAAGAATAACATCCATAGCAGCAAGAATACCCATATGACGATCAGAGATAATGCAGGTCTCCTTGTCAAGTAGAACAAATTTTTTCAGGTATTTGAGGAACCATTTCCAGCTATGCAATGTCCCTTCATCCATGAGGGCAAACGCGATGGGAACAATTGTGTTATTCGAGCACGTCACACATGCCACGATCAATTTTGCTTTGTATGAACCTCGGAGGTGGGTGGCATCGACGGTTATGACCGGCCAAGCAGCTCTAAATAAATGTATAGCTGGCCCAAATGCCCAAAAAATGTACCTACATACCTTCTTCTTCCGATTCTTGGTATCTTTAGTGAACTTAAACTGCATATGGGTATCTGGGTTCGCTCTGAGCAATGCTTCCCGAAAACTGGGTAGTTGTTGAAAGTTGCTTTCCCATGTGCCATACAGACTCTCGAGTGCTTTTCTTCGACCATGCCATGCCTTTTTGTAATTGGGGGTAATCCTGTATCTCTAATTTACTTCGACTTGGATCTACGCGACTGAATAACCTGGATCTTTTCGGACATTGGTTGTGATCAATCGAGCAATCATTGTGGACGTCAAGTTTCGAGCTTCGTTTCTTGTGGTTGCACCAAGACAGTTGTGCCTCTCGATCCACACCACCATTCTCCAAGTATTTGTGTCTTTTTGCAGGGTAGCTCGACATTTCTACAAGCAAGTAGTGCCGTGGAGAAGTTCTTCTGGGTACTTCGGCCCTTTAGTCTTGTATTCAGCGGCCCACGTATAGGGACGCCTATATTTTACCCAACATGCCCGACCCTGTCGTAATGACCATTCCCCCAAACCTGTTCGTACCTCTTTCTTGTTAGCAAAATGTACACCATGTCTAACCGTCTGCCAATTACCGTCCCACATTGTGATCCCATCAGAATCCTCATGCAGTTCAGACTTGTCCATGTCATTGATGTCGTCGAAATAGAAGGTACTACTGAAAATGCGTCATGGTCACTGTAATCATCATCAGACTCATTGGACGGTACATACTCCTCATCACTGCTTCCCTGTACGTCATCTTATGTGTCATCGTCATCTTCATCTGTACCACCAACACCACTAGTCCCTGCACCATCATACTAACCACCACTAGTTCCTTCCCCAACATCTTGAACAGGTTCATCTGCAACCTCTACGTACAATGTTGGACGCAAATGGGCACCTCGGTAAATCTATGACATTGATTCGTCGTCTCTTATGGGCGCTTGCCCCCTTCTACCGTACCCATCTGTGCAGACTAAAACATATTGCAGAGGAAGTATTTTTGGATTCTCAGATTCCAACAGCCTGTGTACATAATTATCAAGTTCAGAGAAACTCCACACTCGATCGATACGAACTGTTGCATCGGGCAAAAATAACTTACCCCCATCTCCCCAACAAGATCTATCACTAGACCAGAATATATTCAGATCGAAGGGACCCGAAAAAGACATATTAAGGGCCTGCATATTTAATTTTTATTCAATTAAACATACAAATACATCAATTTATGTTAGTTATAACAATATTCTACCTCACTAGCAGTAATTTACTCCAAATAACAGTACAATAAGTCCTATCTTTAGTGAAAAATCTCTAACATAATTTAATAATTCAAAAACTATAATTCGACATCTATATAACAAAGTTTTCAATTAAAATAAGAACAAATTTTGATCAAACAGATAAATTTAGATTTACACAATGTATTTGATCAATTAAAACTAATTTATTCAACAATACATGAATTTAGCACTCAACATTAATGATAAAATATAAAATTAACAGAATAAAAAAAATATAAAATAAGGTCAAATCAATAACATTACAAATAATTGGGTCAGAATATAAAATTCGCAAAATTGAGGGATATAGACCAAAATTCGAGATCAACTGGGTTATTCTCTAAATTAATAAAATAACTCATAATATTCAACAAAATTCAATATTTCACATCACAAAAATAATTTTTATTCTTCATTCTACATCAAATATATATATATATATTTAAGCAAATTTTCTAAAACAAATTCTCAATAACTACCTAAATTATTAAATTTAGTAATTTCGTACACCAAAACACCATTAATAGCCCCAAATAACAATAGAATGTATAAATTTTACAAATTTAATAGAGAAAAAAATTTACCTAAATGGATTGCCTCTGTCCTGCTCTCGTTCAGTCCAACCATCCAACCTTCAATCTGAAGAATGCCTCTTTCCTGCTTCGCCTCTTCCACCCGAATGAAAATTTCAACTGAATGCAAGAAGAAAAAAATTGATGATTTTTAGTTCTGCCGTATCTGGAGTGGTGATGAGTTTTAAATTATGACTCTAGACATCACATTCGCATTCGCTAAATGCGAACATCTATCTAAATTTTCAGCAATTGCCACGTGTCGATAAGATATCGACCAATCAGATTTTAATAGGATAAAAAAAATAATTTCGTATTTTTTATACGCTAAAATTTGTTGTTCGCATTTGTAGAATGCGAAAAGCTTATGGCGGCTCACACCTTTTCTCTTCCTTTCGTGTCTGCTTTAATAATTTATATATTAATTCATTCGCATTTGTCGAATGGGAAATTTGTGTGATGGCCCACACTTTTCTCTTTCCTTCCGTGTCTGCTTTAATAATTCATATATTAATTCATTCGCATTTGTCGAATGCGAAATTTGTGTGATGCCCACACTTTTTCTCTTTTCTTCCGTGTCTGCTTTAATAATTGTTATATTAATTTATTCGCATTTATTGAATTTGAAAACTTGATCGAATAAAATATTTTTCTTATCTCTTTTGTTAATATTGTTTGTTTAAGTTGAACTAATTACTTACGTAAACGTCTTCGCATATAGGAAATGCAAAAACCAACTTGTTCGCATACCACAAATGCGAGAAACATAAAAATTTCTACCTCTCCAACCCTAAGAACAACTTTTTCTACCAACTAAAGTTCGGGGTATATTAATCTCACGGACCCCAATTTTGGACATGCTTTTTCTCCGGTTGTTTCTGCTGTATGTTGCACAATGTCTCATAATTATGCTTTAGATGAGGTGCTGCAGTTTCTTGCTGAAAACACGCCAAAGAAAGAATGTTGACAATGAGAAGAATGTTGACAACGGTATAGTTTCTGAGACAATTTGATATAGGTGAGTTTCAAGTCCTACAAAATGAGTTCAAAGAAAACCTACCTTAAACACTTCAAAAGGACAGAAATCAGAGTTATTACAACCCCGCAGTAACATGAAAAAAATTTGATTAAGGAGAGGAAAATAACCAACATAAGCCAAAAGTGCCAAGTGAAAAACCTAACAGAACTTGATAGATGTAAAAAAGGGAAGCCCAGCATCTACAAGGTTATGGTTGGGCCGCCTGATCGATATAGTGAGGTTAACAAATATATTCATCACTTATATTACTCTAGGATCATTGTGAAGAATTGCTAGCTAGGTTTGTGAAATGCTCAAAGAAATGAACAAAAGCTGTCAAGTGCATGTAAAATTGATGGTTTCCTAATAATTGAATCGGTGGATGGACCCATAATTTTCAAGCTAACACATTTACAGATGACATTCAGCTAAATATAAGCATTTCCTAGATTAAACTTACCGGTAATGGAACGGGATGTTCATTATGCAGTATATGTACAAAATATTTGCTTGACTTGACAGCAGGGCAGTTGTAGAGGACTAATATGTTATTTCCAGCAAATGGTGCCAAAATGCTTCCCCGCCAGTTTCTCTTTTGTGATGGCTTAGGAGGGAGCTGCAAGGATCTTCGTATTAACTCAAATTCTGAAAGAAACAGCAGCGCATGTCTATCAAGAAGGAACACATTTAGATTTTTAACTAAAGAGTTTCTGACAATAAGCATACTGACCAGATCCTTCCAGGAAGAGCCCCAGCAAACACGAAAATGGAACCAGAGTTTCTGCATGAGCAAAACGCATTTGTGCCTTTTCATAACTCCCGGGGACAAACCCTTCTAGAAAAACAAACACCAAAGGGCAAGGATAAGATTAACATAAACAGAATTAGTTTCAAATGTCACACTAGGCACTGTAAGGTGAATTCCATTTACACAAGTTTGTTCTGCCCTAAATAGCTTCAACAGGATACAATTGCGATTAAGAGAGGCAACATTCTATTTTTAAGGAAATTATATGATGGCAGAAAAAATTGAAACCTAGACCATTTAAGCAAGCAAAAGAAAAGCAGCTGTTGTTTGGATACTAGTATGGGGTGAAGCTAAGCAGAGAAAGGTTAACCACCAAGGTCAAATACTTGCTCAAGGCAAGTGAACTCAAAAGTAAAGAACAAATTCCTTAAAGGTCTTAGTTTGAGCTCTGTTTCAAGGAACAGTCATCAAACAATAGGATGAATGCAAGACCAAAAGTCCCATGGCTTTTTCAACCAAGATGCTATTTCTCCAACTACTTCTAGATTCTATCATTTGCATAATAAATGTTATCCCCTTGACAAACATTATCGTGCTAATTTCTTTTCAAATATTTCAACTTCCTAAAACAACTTTTATCTCCTTGGTCCCATATCCAAATCTATTATTTTGGTTTCCTCATATACTCTTGAATGCTCAGAGTATCGGTCATCCTCCATTATCCACCACAGCAATACAATTAACTAGGGCTGGTCATTTTGACCCACGGGTCGAACAGATGATCCGATCCGAACTGACCCGAAACCGATCCGAAAATTTAGTTTCGGTTCAGATCAATTTAAAAGAGTGGAATGGTTCGGATCGGTTCGGGTTAAGTAAATATCAAAATTGAACCGAATTAATTTAAACCAATAATAATAATAATAAATTTCAATAGTTTCCGACATTGACCGCCACCGACCGCCGCCGGCAACAACTTCCGGCCAAAAAATTCCGGCGACGTCGATGGCAAATTGATTTTTCCGGCCAAAAATTCCGGCAATATTGCCAGAAAATCGATTTTCCGACAACCGGTGACCGACGCCGGCAAGATGACATCATTGGATACAAAATGGTTCTTTTCTGGTCAATTCGGTTCAGATGCAAAATTTAACCCGAACCGAACCATAGTGATCCAAAAGAAAGTTGCCCCATTTCCGAACCGATCCAAACTAACGGTTCGGTTCAGATTCGGTTCGGTTTGGGTCGGTTTTATGTAAATGAACAGCCCTACAATTAACAATATTGAAGACTACAACTGTGAGAGCAACGCCAACTACACCAGAAGATGACTTTTTAGTTTTCAAATTAGTTCCGTCAAGTGCATTTTTGGGTCTGTGACTCAATCCCCATACTTCATCATGCATGGGGCACCAGGGAGGGCTTCTGTTTAATGGAAAAGAAGGGAAACACGAAACAGGAAACAAGTTTACTGGATAGGTTCATGTCACCTTCCTTGGATTCAATTGCTCGCTCCATGGACTGAATAACATCTTACAGTAGTGGCACTCCCATTTGGTAGTTCAGTGAATTACCATAGCCCTTCAATATAAATATCTCAAGATCATCTGTCCACTCCAGCAAGGAGACCTAAATGATATTTAAGAAGCTAGTCAGAGTAAAGTATGAGGATAAAGTACATATTACAAGAATCAATATTCTTTAAAAGAATATTACATACAAGGTAGGAGTTTAGTATCTATCAAGATAAACCAATTCCAGAAGTCCAGAACTGTTGGACTAACCTCAGCAGGAGTGAATAAACCACAAGCTTGGTTGGTTACTCCCAGTAAAGATGCTTCCTTTATAAATAAGTTAGTAAGATGAATGTTCAACAACATTAGATGAAGATAAATGAATGAGGACCATAAGGATAATCAAATCGGAAAACCTGTTTGCACAGAGACCACAACGAAGATGCATCCTTACTTGTGAGATTAAGCCCATAACGTCCAACTAATCCACGAGCAATCTCATCTAAGACAGGTTCCTTTAATTTATCAACAGCAGGTTCCTGACTTTTCCTGTAGCCCTTCATCCACAAATGAAAGGATAGTTCTCTTAAATGTTTGTTCAACCAAACTAATGATGTCAGAATTCAGTACGAGAACATCAGACAAAAAAGCAAACAAGAAAAGTTCAGAAACCTTGTAATTCTGACAACAGTCATGAAACCTAAGCGTTGTATCACTAGCATGGCTTTCACTAATCACAGCAAAGGCACGTTGGAGTCCTGGGCCTAGATTTCCCTTTCCACTGAAGAGACCCATGCCAAATGCCACGGCACTAGCTGAGGCCCGAGGAACCTATTCACACACCAAACCAAAAAAAAAAAAAAAGAAAAAAAGAAAGAAAAAAAAGATATAAGACAGTCGATATGCTTAAGATATTACATTCCTCTAATTCATCGTCTTAGTAACAACACAAAATTTGCTGAAAGAAGTGGAGAATGCTCTATGGTATTTGTCAATGAATATATTCTCATGAAAGGAAATACTTCTAGGGTGACAAAGGGCAGGGGACAACAGAGAAATTCTAAAAAGCAGAGACAGAGAAAGATGATACAGAGCTACTAAAGTTCAGAATCTTTAATTCAGTTTAAAGCAAACCATTTCTGGCATAATTCCCCCAATTATCTATCATGAGGTGAGTAATTTATTGATAATAGTTCATGTTTCAACATATTCTGTCCACACTTCTAAACTAAACCAGGTGTAGAGGTTTCCATGAGTGATATATACACGTATGCATTTATAGAGATAAACTCATTTAACTAGAGTGACTTCTTAGTCCAGAAGGCTAGATTCTAAAAATGAACATACATGCATCATGAGGCACCCAAGCTAAACCAAAATGAAAGAAGAAAACTTTAAAATTCTTGAGACTGATTCTTCAGGCATTTCAGAGTAAATACTCAATTCTCCACTTCTACCACAATTAACAGAATCAAACAGAATTCTCCAAGCACCTGAACAGAAATTAGGTAGATGATAACCTGCGTAGCTTTTATCGGGTATATGTCAGGGTTGTATTCTTGATCAAATAATTCTAGGAATTTTTCTCTCATTCTAATACCAAGATGGTAGAGGTCATCTTCACCTTGAGGAATCAACTCTCCACCGGTCTGCTTTCCTTGCCATGGAGATTTCCATTCCCACAACCAGGCAGGGATCTTGTCTAAAGACTTGCTTTGCCTTTTTGCTTCTTGCAACAGGATTTCCAAACGAGCAGCCAGGCCATCAAACTCCCGAATCTTTTTCTTGGTTGGAGCACGAGTACCATGCCTCGCCTGTCCAAGAAAATCTTCCTGTTAGTGCTATTAATCTCCCACAAGTACTCTTAATCCTGTTCCACCTGCTTACTACTATTTAAGAGTAGTCCCTATACATCATTTGAATCACCTAAACCATTACTAATCCCGAGATGATTTCAAAAAGATATAAACCAAAGACAAGCTAAAGGCATTTTACATCAATCAATATACTGCTAAAGTTTACAGATACTAATTATCACTGAAAACGCTAAATGCATGTAAAAAATTCCCATTAAACGCGTCTTATCTTCTTAAGTTAGAAAGGCAAGCGCAGGCATTTCAGTATTACCCCAAGATTCAAATGGATGGGAGTACACTCAACTCGAATTTTTGAAGGTACAAACGAATCACTCGCCATATCCTTAACAACACCATACCTGCAAAAAAAAAAAAGATAGAAATTGAATTCGAAAATTCATCTTGGACAAAAAAAAAAAAAAACCTCATGTTCTAATCAACTTCGGTGACCGTACCAAAATTATGAAATACTAAAATTTTCACCAAAATTAAATAAATAAATAAATAAAATCAATTTTAAAAAAGGATACAGCTTAGCTCAGGAAAAGGAGCTGATGAGTTCAATAAGAGCCGAACATGACTGATGCATAAGAGGAATTCACACAAACATATAAACTGCAAGAAGGGAAACGGAAAGACGCACCTGTATACGGTGGAAAGATGAAAACGAACGTCAAATGTTTCATCGCCGGCGTCGGAAAATGACGAACAATAAATTCAATCTAGCCATTGATAATCACTGATCAGTCAGTTGAACACTCTGAACTCTGAAGTGAACTCTGGAAAAAAAACTCTGTTCTCTCACCGCCTTCTAATTTTTGGTTTTTGTTTTTGGCTTTTGGGTGTTAATATTTATTGTATTTTTAAAATATTTTAAAACAAAACCTGTGTTTTTATATATACACGGGCCTAATTGTTTTTTCACCTTTACCAACAGTAAAACGTGGATGATGAATGCTATTAACTCTTGCTTTTTTCAACTAAAGACGCGTGTCTATTGAAGACTAATAGTATTTTCATATTTACAATGTAATTTAGAGACTTTTACATTTTTAATTTGAATTTAACATCTTTAAAATAAGAAAAAAAAATTCTAATCCTACGAATAACAAAAATTTTAGGTGTTTCTCAGACAAGGCCTAATAAGAATTGAAGGATGACCAAGTCAGTATCCAACATTGTTCCATTCATAGTACTGAATAGTTGGCTCACGAACAAGGTATTCTAATTTAATTGTGTATTGAATTACGATTCATGAAGTAATAATTTAGTGCTTCACTTTTTATTTTTCACGTTTGGCTATTTTTAAGTTGTATCAAATCGTCTCTAAAAATTAAATAATTATAATGACGAATAATAAGGACTGTCCAATTTAATGAATTAATAACATTTTAAATCTAAATGACTTAAGGGTATTACTCAATACTAGATGTTAAACCCGCGCGATATGCGGGTTTATTTATATACATTATAATAAATTAATAAAAAAATATAAAAAGTCTAAGATATATTTGGAGTCCATATTAAGATACATTACACAACTAAAATTAAATAAAGGCGTAATTGTAAAGATAAAATAATACATATCATTTGAAATGCAAGTGTTCACTTGATTTTTATTGAAAGAGAAGAGTTGGACAATAATACTCATAAGCAGAGTAAAATAAATAAAATTGTATTAATGTTACATATTGAATGAAAAGATAAAATGATTGTACGTGTAAAATACATAATAAAGTAATTATCAATAGTAGATGGTAGATTATGTGTGACTGAAGTATGAAGTTTAAAATTTTTATTGTTATTTTGTTGTAATTAAAGATTTTATGGTACTGTTTGGCCCAATACTTAGTATTTTAGAGGAACAAACCAACTGTAGAGTTAAAATTTTTGCCATTTAATCCCCTTTTTCTATGACAATAGAAAATAATAATTAATGAAATTATGAAATTATGGGTAAAAAAAAAACATAAGTTTAGTAACGTCTAAAAAAGAACCCTAAAACATCATTTTGCAGAAGAACATACGGAAAAAAAAAGCATATATAACCTTAATTAACCATTACCTCCAATGGCACACGATCGACCCACTATTAGTTCATCGTTTTCAGAACAACAAATCAATTGTAAGGCTAGAGTTTTTGCCCTTTCATCTTTGGATTTCGGGTGGTTTTGGGGAGGGGGAAATTTTTGCAGCACTGGAACATACTCATGGTTTGTGTGTCATGTATAAATAGAGATAAATTGGGGATGATAATTGATTATCTAAAATTTCAGTGATAAAGATAAAGTTTATAATAATTTTTGAGATATTATTAAGAAAAGATTATATTTATTTGGGTAGATATGATATTACACAAATAAATGCATTGGTTTGAAATTCAAAAGATAACATTTAATTATAGTTAAATCCCGTCCTTTTAGTAATAATTGAAGGCAAGTTTTGTACCCCTTTTTCTTTTTTATTGGCGAAAAATACAGGGTCATGTTTTTTGGAGAAGATTTTAAAGATAACATTAATGTTGAATGATTGATATTTTTTTTTGAATTGTAGTTTATTGATTTACATGATTGGGAGGGAGATTTTTTTTTTAGAGAGATTAATTAAATGAGTCTAGTAGTAACTTTGGGGATTCTTTTGGGGAGGGAATAATTCTGGTGCATTAATGTTCATTAATCTCGTCCATTAAATTTAATTAATTTTTATTTTCCTATTTTAAACTATAGTTTTAAATGCCATTTGATAAAACTTTATTTACATAAAATTTGAAAGACTATTAGTATAATTATTGTAAATATTTTTTGACTCAACCATTAGAAAAATGACAAATAGTATTTTATATTATGTGGCACCTTTAGAATTTTTTTTTATTTTCTCTTTCTGGTTTCTCTCTTAGTATAATAATATATACTATAAATAGATTTCATTTAAAATTTAAAGCAAGTAATAAAACATATAAAAAAAACCGGATAAGATCGCCTAATTAGTTCTCTTTCTAATTGATTTATTAAAATCCTAATTCTCTTTCTTTCTGTTTTTAATTTTTTTTTTTTAGTAATTTTTCTGAAATATTTATTTCTGTTTCGGTGGCAAACTGGAACGTGTTGTCCTCTTCTGAGCTCTGAGAGGAATCAATAAGTAGTATCCGCAAGTACAGAGATTTTGACTCCTGCACTCACCACTCTCACTCTGTTCTACTCTCTTCCTCATCTCAGCGGATCTGTATCACTCTTCCAGGTGCCTTCACTCATCCTTCTCAGTTCACTTCCTCTGTATTTCCCTCTGCATTTCTGGGAATGATTTTGATCATGTCTTCATTCAAATGATTTTCTCTCTATTGTTATTGGCTTTTGAAATCTTTTTTTTCGTACAGGGCCGTCGAATCAATGTGTACAAATGGTCTCTCTCTTTTTTTTTTTTGTTATTGATTTTGATTCATTTGGCATTAACGTATCCAGTTTTTCGCTTTTAGGATATGGGATTTTTGTGTTGATTAATTTGACCTATCCCAGTGTTAATTTAGGTTTGGGTTGCTGTTAATATTGTGTGATTATAAGTTTCATAGGAACTGTGAGTTTTGAACAGGTTTTATGTATTTTTAGGTGATTCTGACAGCGACATCGAATCCACCAGTAAGGGTGAAACTAGCTTAAATTTGCACAATGTGGTTAGCTCAAAATCCCAGCAAGAGATGGGGCGAATTGTTCTTTCTGTTGTACACACCATTCTGGCTGACCCTTTGCCTCGGCATTGTTGTTCCATATAAGTTATATGAGGTAACATTTCCGAGTAATTGTGGCATTTTGGATGCACTTAGAAATTTATCGTATTTTGTAATGGACTTAGAGAGTTGACTTTTATGCTTGGTTAATGAGTTTAATAGAGCTGCAGATTTGTTTCCCTGCTGCTTTAAACAGTCTTTCTAAGGCACAAAGTAAAATCAATAGAAGTTATTTTGATTGAGGGTGAAAGTAGTCACCAACAAAAGTTACAATTGATGTGAAGAAAACACGTGTCCGCTTGTGCTTCAACTGGTTTATATCAGTTGTTGATTAGGTATTGTGTATGGTTGAAAGAGAGTAAGACTATGGTAGAAATGAGAAATCTTTGTTGGGCCTTTTTTGCAGTACTTTTGTATGTGCAGAATGAAAGTGGAAAGGTCCGCCAGTTTCTCTTATGACTTCCCGGTGCTGAAACAAGTTGTCTTATGTTTTTACGTAAACTTCTTAATGCAGTTGAACATGCACGTGATACATTAAAGCAGTGTAGACACTGCCTGTTGAGGAAGTTCTAATGCTATGTTTACCTTTTCAACTCATTTGAGAAAGGAGGAACTTATTGACATAAGCTAATATGTGTCCTTCTTTAAGGTTCATTACTGGATAATTTTCTGCGGGGATGCTTCTGGTTGAAGTTTGTGATCCATGTGTAGGTTAATATTTTGGAAGTATGTGATAAAATTTTATGCTTTAGGATCAACGAGATCATGGTGCTACTGTCCAAGCTTGTCATGTTCAATGACAAAATAAATATGAAGTTGTCCTTAGCCACGTATGCTGGACCTCTGTCTCGTGTACTGTTTTGTGGTTTGATGTTTGCCAATTTTGGCTCTGTCATCTAGTTTCTTGATTGTTTGGAAAAAGAGAAGGATACCTGACTAGTGACAAACTCGTTTTACCGAATTACGTGATTCCATTATGTTTGAGTAGCTGAAGGATAAAAAAGTGCACTTTAACTTTATCAAGGAACAAGATTTGCTCGAAGATCTTTTGTTACCAGGAACTGTGGTACTTACTTTGTCACTAGCCGAAACTGCAGTAAGATTTGTTACTTTTGTCCCCAGTGGTACCTTCACTTCTAATTCGGAGTATAAGTTAGCGGTATCAACTAAAGATTGATGATTTTTTGCTGTTGTGAACTTATTAGGTGTAATGCTGTAGCTTAATTACCTGTTTCCCTATAATCTTAAGGACTATTCATAGAATATAGTTATAGACTTTCTGGTGCATTTTCTCTTTCTGGAAAGGTATCATCTTCTTCAGGCGGTTATAATCAGGAGTGGACATTGAATATGTTTGATTTAGTACATCAAGAGGATACGTCATTTATCTGTTTGACGACTTTGAGACGTTAAGAAGTACCACCCACCCTAATGCTAATCTGGCTGTTCGATTTCAGAAAAGTTTCATTGTTGGCAATTTTTTTGTGTTTTTTTGGTAACCATGATTGGCTAGTTATGCAAGCTGAAGATAGTTTGGTTGCATGCTTTTAACTGTACCACTTGTATCTCTTTTTCGACTTACAGAAGTATTGCAAGCTTAGTTGCGCCTTTTTTTTTTTGGCAGACATTTACAGAATTCGAGTACCTGGTTCTTGGGCTTATTTCAGCAGTACCTGCTATTCTTCTACCAGTTATATTTGTAGCTAAGGTAATCTCTGCATAAATTCTGGTTAATTTGTTGATTTCAGTTGCAGTAGTTGTCATAATGAGATTCAGGACTGGCAATTTTATGGACTATGTCAATGTCCTTGTCTACTCTCATGAAAATTGCTTGCATTACAAGTGTGTGCATGGTTCACTCCTTTTCATCCCAACAGTACATAACATTAAATCACGTCCCAATTCCATATTCCGTCTTTCCAATTTTTGCTGATTATATGTAATTATTGAGTATTTTTTATATTGTAAATCAATTGATGGGCACAGTTGAGTCGATGGACTCACGAAGGATCAGTGTTGGGAGACTGATTCTGTGCATTGACAAAAAGAGAGTCAAAGATGAGGATGTTGACCCTGATTTATGGTCACACTACAAAGTAAATAACTATGTTCCAGAAAGAAAGTGGGCTGGTATGTATCAGCATAATATCTTTAAATTGACAAGAATGATATTTAGAAATACATATTATAAGATGCAAATGGGGAGAGCTAAAAGATTATGAGACATACAGACAGAAGGATATGATACCCTTAAACTCAAGAAAATGTATATATTCTGAAAATGTGAGACCGGGATAGGATGCAGCCAAACCAACAGTGTCATAGAAAATTTGTTGCTGAACCGTATAGCTAAATTCCAGCACTGAATGTATACGACCAGAATCATGTGGATTGAAATTATTTCCATTCTTTGTTACGGTATTCGATTAGTTTACGTTGACCCAAGCACACTAACTTTGGTTTGTATGTTAATTTTGCAGGCTGATAGGAATGTTTCTTGGAGCAGTCGATATTGGGTAAAGGTAAGGATCATTTATGAATGAAATGTGAAATGGTTATCTATAGGCTGGTAAAGAGAAATATTATTTTGATGCGGGCAAAACCTGTTAGCTTTGCATACAAATTTAGACGGGATTATGCTGGCAAATCTCTGATTAGTGCTCTCATGCCTTAGATCATACATAAAATTTATTACCTCTTACCAATACCCCTGAAGCAAAATTCTACCTTGATACTTTTGAAGTCAATTTTGATGTGCACTAGATGGCCTTGTTTGAATCAAAAGATTTGTCAAGCTAAAAATCTAGGAAAGCTGAGGGAGAATCGGAAAAAACTGTTAGTACTACGTTTGTGATGCAAAGTTATGCTATTAGTGTTTTTTCTGTTAGTCCCCGATGATAGCCCCTTCAGCTCCAAACGCTTACTTTGATATTTGAAGTTACTAGTGTAGTTCTCTTTTCTTTTCTTTTTTGGTCAAAAGTGTAGTTCTTATTTCAATATAACAGGTTAATATGAAGAGGTTATTAGTGTTTCTGCCCCTGAAATGCCATGTTAATTAAAAGAATTTTTATCTTTTGCTGTTGCTTGAAGTTCATAATGCTATTCAACCTAGTTGCTTGTCTTAGCTAGTTTTGAAATGAGGGCAATGTTACTTGAAACTCTAGATTTTACTTAATTGTTGAGATGCACAATTGCACATTGTGTTTACCAGTTTCTACTGGATTATTCATCTATGACAGAAGCTGTAACTTTGAATGTTTTCTATGCAGGCTAATCTCTGGATAGGAATTTTTAGTTATGTTGGAAACTACTTTTGGACTCATTACTTCTTCAAAGTATTGGGTGCTTCATATACCTTTCCGTCATGGAGGATGAATGATGTAAGCATTCTTTGAGTAGTTTTCATTTGTTTCAGGTGTTGCTTTATGCCACAATGATTGATGGATTGTTTTCCTTTTCACAGGTGCCTCATACAACTTTTCTTCTTGCTCATGTCTGCTTTTTGTTTTACCATGTTATATCCAACATTACTCTTCGTAGATTACAGCATTCCATTGCTGATTTACCTGAGAGGATTCAGTGGGTATTTAAGGCTGGCTGGATCTTGGCTCTTGCTTATTTCATCGCATACCTAGAGACAGTAGCTATTGCTAATGTATGTTGGTGATTTATGAATATTCCTATTCAATTTGATCTTGTTCTTGAAGCTAATGTTCTCCAAACAGTTATGGCCTTTCATAGTTTCATGAAAAACTGAACCTTGTGTTTTTGACATTGCAGTTTCCGTACTATACATTCATTGACCGAGAATTAATGTACAAAGTGGGCTCCTTGTTTTATGCAATTTATTTCATTGTCAGCTTCCCAATGTTTCTCCGGTAAGTAGCAATTTATTTTACATGAAATTGCTTCTGCAAAACTTGAGAAAAGAAATATGTAAAAGATTAAGCGCTACTTCAATCACTTATAATCAAAAAGTCGTGAAGTTCTTGCTATTGGTTGTGCTGTTATTAGTTTGTCCTTGTTCTAATGGGAGTTAATAATATGCAGGGTTGACGAGAAGCCTGGTGATCCATGGGATTTGCCCAGGGTGGCAATTGATGCTTTGGGGGCTGCAATGCTTGTCACCATTTTACTCGACTTGTGGCGCATTTTCCTTGGACCAATTGTCCCCATGTCTGGGAGCCAACAGTGTCTTCAACAGGGACTGCCTTGGTTTGCAGAACAGAGTCAGCAATTTTGAACCTGATTGAGAAAATCCAATCAAGTGAGTTAGATCCCTGAGACCCTGACTAATCTTATTTGCAGGCCCTTCTCCAATTTGTTGTAACACCACATGTGTCATGTAACTTCTTGTATCCTTTATTGTGACAAAACATTGCCAGTAGAACTAGAAGTCCAAAAGAGGTGCCATATTTTTGTAAACTGTTCGTTATGGTATCTTGATTCGCTGTTGATAACATGGATTATCTGTTGCCTGCTGCATGATTGCAGATGATTCTATGTATGACTACTTAGGAAATTCGGTGTATGTTCATTGAGGTTTTTGAGCGTGATGGTTCTGAAGTACTTCATTACATAAGTTGACGCTAGTTTACTTTTCTGGAAACCCTCTACCACTAGAGTTGAAATTCGTCTCTGCAAACAAATCAAATTGTGTACCATAATACATTTACTGACAAGACTTGATGCGTTGCCTGCGAGAAGAAACTTTTTCCTTTCTGCTGGAAACTTCTTCCTTTCAGAAGTTTCATCTGCAATTTCAGTAGCACGATCAGCAGTCATCTGAACACGGCGTTTGTGAGAGACCATACGTCGAAAAGACTTGACATCCCTGAATATCAAAACATTTTTTTTTTTTTTTTGGTAAATGAATATCAAAACATTTCGAATTAAAAGTTAGCACTGTGCCTTTAACAATCTATTGAAAACCATTCAACGGCGAAAGGCGAAGTTCTGAAACTTTAAGCTTATTAAGTCCATACTTGTATCACAAGGAAAGACAAAAGATCAAGAACTGTGTACGCCATATAGTTGTGGTTTGCAATGATCCTGGAAGAATAATGCGAATTGATTCTCATAGCATCATGACTTCACAATTCCATCTGAATTTCGACAGTTTACATCTCAATCTCGTTCATTAGTTTAAAAAACAAAGGTCATTCATTCCATTCAGAAGTGAAAAGTTACACCTCAGCGATTCACATGAAAAATCAAGTCCCAGTTCTCTCTGGGTTAAGGACGTTAGTTAATGGCGTGATCCATTGAAGCCTCGCATATTATATGAGGCACCCGGTGCTCCCAAGTTAGGGAGTTCCGGACGGGTGCGTGTAGCCTACAATTAAAAAAACGCGTCCCTAAATTTAAAACAAACGGTTCCAATTCGACGTGCATAAACCTTTTTCTCCATTTTTTTCTTATCCCTTTTACAACCTAATTTTTGCAATTGAATGTGATTCGGCGATCCTCCGTCTTCAATTGAACATCATCCGACGTTTCTCCGTCTTCAAATTTTATACACTTTTTGACGGCGATCTTTCTTTCTCCAGTTTGATTTAGTTTGAGTGACGGTGATTCTAAGGTAGTTTTTCATTTGCTGGATGTCTTTAATTTAATTTGAATTGGAACTTCACGAGCAATAGCGTATAAATTATTTCACAACTATGAGATTCATTGCGTTTTTTTGTGTTTTTTTTCGTCTGGTAGATGAGTTGTTCGGAAGGAATGTCTGCTGTTCCTAATTCTGGTGCCATAGTCCCTTACTCAAGTGAAGAATCAGACAATGAACGCATCGTTGATGCGGAAGAATCAGACGATGAGCGCATTGAGGAAGAATTTGATGAAGTCGTTTCTGTTGAAGGCGAACCACATTTTCTTTTATAACTGGATGAATTTCAATATTCAGAATGTTTTTGATGTTTTTTTTGTCTTCCATGAGCATTGTTGTTTCGTGAGATGAATTTAAGTTTTAGATAAACTGTAGTTCGTGCAGAACTACTTTTGATAAATTATGTTTACTGCAATGAGCATTGTAGTTCTGTGAGATGATCATTATAGTTACTGCAATGAGCATCGTAGTTTCACCAAATGAGCATTCCATATTTTTACATAAACTATATCAGACTTTCATTTTTTATGAAGTAGTTGTGGACGATTTTTCCTTATTTGTCTTTGTAGATATAGATCTTCTTGGCCGTGAGTTCAAATTAGTTGACGAGGCATATATGTGTTATGAGTCGTATGCTAGAAGACTTGGTTTTGATATTAAGCGCTTTAAGAATAGATACAGGACATGTGGCGACTTGAATGTGAAACAGTTTGCTTGCAATAAACAAGGGGGTACAAAGACTAGAGGGAAAGCGCTTCGCAACAGGATTATTACTCGTACGGGATGTGGTGCAATGCTGCAGATTAAGGTTGATGCATAAGGCATTTGGAAGATTGTTGTGCACAAAGTTGATCATAACCACGAAATGATACCTTAGAATCAGTGTCACTTGGATCGGTCGCATAGGCAGATGCCTGATAATAATGTAGCGCTTCTAGCTGGGATGAAAGAGCACTGAATTAGCCTTACACACGGGTATAAGATGCTGCATAAGCAAGGGGATGGTTCTCCCAACCTTAATTACACCATCACGGATGCGAGAAACAAGGTGGCTGCACTTGAACGTGCGAGGTGGGAGGGTGGTGATGTGAATAAGTTGTTCGATATTCTAAGGAAGAGAAAAGCAACTAAGCCTGACTTTGTCTTCGATTTCTTGCATGATGACTCTTGTAGGTTAAGTGCTATTTTCTGGAGAGATGCTAAGATGAAACATGACTATGAGGTGTTTGGGGATTTAGTGGTGCACGACACAACCTATAGGACAACGAGGTACAAACTTGTGTGTGCGCCTTTTACGGGAATGAACCATCACTACTAAAACATCATGTTTGGGATTGGTTTTTTACTAACTTAAAAGTCCAAGTCGTTTGAGTGGCTTTTCTCTAAGTTTTTTGAGTCAATGGGAGGTAAAGAGCCAACCACTTTGATGACTAATCAGATTACATCAATGGCGAGCACCATTCCGGAAGTTTTTAAGGAAGCACGTCACCACTTGTGCACATGGCACATAGGCAAAAACTCAAAGAATCACATTGGCTATTTGAGGGCAAAGGAAGGGTTTATGGATTTGTTCTATGGTGTTGAGATGCACAGATATACAGGCTGAGTTTGATTACTACTGGAAGAAGTAAGTATCATTTTCTATGACTGTTTGGATAGAACATTATTTTTTCTAAAATGAACATTGCAGTTTCGTAGGATGAGCATTGCACTTTTATGCATCAGATACACTATGACTATTTTGACAGAAGTGCATAAGTAGAGTTTCTTGCATGAACATTGTAGTTTCTTAGCATGATGATCATTCTGTTTGTTCTGTTTTTCAGATTGTGTGATGATTATGAATGTACTGATAATAAATGGTTGTGGAAATTACATTCCAATAGGCATAAATGGTGTCCAGCCCTGAACAAAGACCGGTTTTCTGGTGGTGCACTTTCTTCATAGAGGAGTGAGTCGACAACAAGACAATTTGTCGGGAACTCCCAAAATGTACTGGCTCGTGTACCTTCTATGATCACTTTGAGGAGGTGGTGAAGTACTGGAGGAAGAAAGAGACACATGAAAATTTCAGGTGTAGTAACGGACGTGTGAAGACGAAGTTCAAAAATGTGAATTTACTTACGCATGCACGTGAGTTCCACACAATTGAAGCCTACTTGTTATTTCAACAGCAATATGAATTTAGTCTTTCTTGTGAACAATCAATGATTCAGCAAGTGAATGATAAGATAGCATTATATTATGTTAAGCGTAACACTATAGATGTTTTCCAACATCAGGTTCATTATAATATTTGGACACGTGAGATTTGTTGTACTTGCAACATGTTTTCTGAGAAGCAATGTAGTGTTGTTGCTTCAGTTAGTAATGGAGGGTCTAGGGTTGTAGGTTCTACAATTTGGAGGTCAGATGTTATCGGCAAGTTTATTAGGCTTGTTTCGGCAAGTGAGCCATCTCCAGCAGCTAAACAGCTTATCGAGGAAGGTCTGAGTGTGATGGCAAGAGTGGTCGAGGCTGAAGTTGGGGCTATACAGTCTAGAGAGGAAGAGGAAAAAGAAGAGGCTTCAACATCAAATGTGGTTGTTAAAGATCCTGAGCAACTGAGGCCAATTGGTGAGCTTAATGTAAGATGGGTAAGTACTGTGGAGAAGAAAAGCAATCAAGCCCGGGGAAAGAGGAAGAGAGCACTGACCGTGAGGACAAAGAAAGCTATTTACAACAGGATGGCATCTAGTGAACCCGAAGTTGTTGGCTGTTATGTGCATCCGGTCTGTCCTGATCAACCCTTGCAAGTTTCAATTTCAAGCTGCACCAAAAGCAAGGCGGGTACATTTCTGGTGTTCCTGTGAACAAACATGAAGTTTTGCAGGATGAACAATAGTGGCTTGGAAATGAAGAATATGCGTCTGGAAATGAACATTTTGTTTTTTTATTTTAGTTTCTCAGGACGAACAATGTTAGGCTGGAAATGAACAATGACGGTTTCTGACAGTTTTTTTTCTTTTTTTTTGAAAATACAGTTTTGTTTAATTGTAACTGCCCCTTAAACTTCTCCTGGAAGTTATTAAATGAAAAGACACATTTACAATGAACATGGACCAATCTGAATTTCAAGTATTTATATGCCTTTTAAATACTTCTTTTGAATTCCAAGTATTAAATGAGAAGACATATTTCAGAATTCCCTAATGTACATTCATTATCCACAGAAGAGGAATAGTCAGGGGCAGGGAGAAAATCAACAGCTTCATTCTCAGAATTCATCGATAAAAAACGAGATCATCCTACCATTTCTACCACACTTGCAATTCCTATCTTTTCTACCTTTCTGTTATTCAGCAAAAAAACATGTCTTCTTCCACCAGATATCAAAGAATGCTTGAAAGGAATAATGGTATGCCCTTTTGCTTCCTTGTATTCTATCCTTTTTCAACTTAAACGTGATTGATTTCTAATGTTTGTGTTTTCATGTAGCACAACTGCAAGTAAGGGTTGATCTGTTGAGGATGATGATGGAAAGAACGTAGCAGTTTCTGAGGGATTCCAGCAACATAAGGACGAGGAGGGCACGACTGAATGAGGATTTCCTCAACAGGGTTAATACAGTTTGTGCTTTTTCTATATTACTTTACTCCATGTGTTTATATTCAAGTACAAGCGAAGGAGTTTTGAACTACTTATATTTATGTTGCTGATCTTTATATAATCAGAGTGATCTGGCAAGCCGAGCTTATCTACGTCAATTGCGTAGGGATGAAAAGAGGTTCCTGGTACGCGACCTCAATTTCCTGGCGATTGATATTGCTAACCAAGGAAATGCGTACCAAGAATATGCATGCTGCCTAAGACGCTACTGGTCCCGCGCAAGATGCTGCTGCACCTTGCCTCCCCAGAACCCGCCCTCCCCCCCTCCCCCCCCCCCAAGAACCCGGCTCCCCAAAACCCTTGAATGTTTTTTTTTTCATATTATAAGACAAATTCATGAACATTTTTAAAATTTTTGGTTTGTAAATAATATTTTACTATTGATGTTATTTATTATTTTTTT